CCGTGTGCAGCTTTTAAATATGCATGGCCTACATTTCTCACCCGGCTCCGATTCGCCGTGACGTCGTCTTCTCGGTTTCAGCTTTTCTTCTTGCCTTTGCTGCCTTGTGATTATTCGGCGCTGACCTGTTTCTGCTGTGAGATCTCTGCGCCGGCACGACGTGGCCAGTCTCTCCGCAGTGCGGCCCGGCGTCACCTGCGCGCCGACTCTTTCATCTGCACAAAAAGAGCGGCCTGATCTGCTCCCAGCCTGGCTAGAGAGACAGTGAAATGTTTGCTTCTAAAAAGACGCGATCACCAGTTCTCCAACAACCCAAGTCTTTTAAGATGACCAAAACCGTCTTTGCAAAGAACATTAATTTACAAAGCCGTATCGGCAAAGCTAGGAAAATATTAGTGTCTTTCGGCTGGGCAACATCGTGGCGCAGCTGTTAGCATTCCTGCCACACAGTGCTGTGTTCAAATCTGGCCTGGAGTGCTGTCTGTGTGGAGTCTGTATGTCTGAGTCTGAGCAGAAAGAAGTTTGATCAATATGATGTGTATTGGATAGAGCCCCTTCAACAATTGCGCATGCACTTTAACACCTTCCTAAATACTGTATACTTTCAATCATTTTTATTGTCCATTTGCTGGTTTTTTTTGTAGTAGTGTTGTTGTTGCACCACTTGTTACTCAAATTGCCACCCCTCACCCCCCAGGGATGAATAAAGTATTTTGAATTGAACTGAACTGCTCAAACTTCCTCTTTGGTTTTTACTCAATATCAGGGTTTGGAGCAGATTGTGCTGCGGAGTTTTTCAGCAGACAGCCAGGACAGACGGCTCTCACGAACAGCGTCCTCTTGCGTCACCGGGGGCTTTCCTGTAGCTTCGTGACTGATGGGACAAATCGCAGAGAATCGATTTGCACCTGGTCAGCTTTCACTGCTGACTTTGTACCTCAGTGCGCAACCCCGAAAACACACAGTCAAGTTTTACGGTCACTCACTGCCCCGGTAACGGCCTTCGCAAAGTCAGGAATAAACGGACTGACTGAAAAGGCTCTTGGGAAAGCACAGCACGTTTTCTCAAGAGAACAGGCCATTCAAAACCCACTTCCCCATCGTGTCTGACACTGAAATATCCCAGCGCATTTCTCTCTTTCTTGAACACTGCGCCGGTCACAATCATGAAATATTTCCTGCATTTACACGGCTCTGTTAGGGTCAGAGTGCCTTACACACAGGAAGGGACTCGGTTCATCCATCCCAGAAGTACAGTCCCACCTGACGCTGCACACAGAGGTCAGGGGCGGACTGAAAAACTACCCTATCAGCTGGAAACTTAATAACATAGCACCTAACACTTAAGGCATTCCCCTATTCTAAAAGATACGTAGATTGCATTACCTGTGAGAAACACCGTCTTGCAAGTACAATAAAATAACTGAAAATAAAAATGAAACACTTCAAACTTAGGATTGTTATGTAAAGCCTTGATCTTTATCACACTTGAAACCGATGTGTTTTGCAGGAGCTTTCTAGCAGCACGTTAAAACGGTCCGAGCCCTTGCGTAGATAGTGCTGAGCTACTAATTGTTTTTCCTGCTTAGGGCCACAAAACGATTCTCAGAAACTCGCATTTCACCACATGAAAAGCATGATGCAGCGT